CCGCTGGAAAAATCGGAAGTAAACAGAAGGGAGAAGTAGACAGGAAAAATAAAAATGTGAGAAAGATGAAGATGTAGGGAGAGAGAGAAATAGAAAAAGGCGACTGCCGATTTCCCCTGGGTGGGTCAGTCCAGGGGTGCCGTCTACGTGAAGCCGGGGCTAAAGGGATGTGTTGTATCTGCCGGAGGGGCCTTAAAGGTCCAATCACCTGGCGTTGGCTCAACCCCCAGGATCCCCTTTTTCCCAGACACGGCAAAGCCACGCAAGGCTAGGCGTGGGAGAGAGTCAAAACCCCCTCATTAGCTTGGGTCCGTGGCGACGCTACACACCAAACGCCTGCTTGCGCATATGCCCCTGCAGGGGCGGGGGTGTCATTAATACGTGTTCAGTGGGCTGTTGACGCCTGCTTAACTTACACCAAATTACTGTGAAATGTCAGCACCATCAGCAGAAGTACAATTGTTCCTATGAAGTTCCTAGCAGAAATATAGTTGTTCCCCCCATTACCCTTAATGCAGCGATGAGGGGCCTATGTTCATCGAAGTATGATGTACACTGAAGTTGCTCGAAAACAGTAATCTAGGTTGTGAAGAAGTGGTCAATGACACCTCCATTCCTCATCGTGGGCACGAGATCTTGGGAGGCTGTCTACATAGAAAAAACTTGCTTTATGTATTGTGTGAACCCGGTCTGGTTATCTGCTGAAACATCCGCATTAGTCTCATTTTGCTCTGAGCTTCCCTTACTTCAAAGCGTGTTCACCCATATCCCCCTTTACAGCCTCATTCGTCGTTTTCCCTGGGAGCACCCAATGCGAGGTGTCCAACAGTCCTTTGATTTACATCCATTCTTCATTGCACCTCTGACTTCATGCACACCACTGAGTTCCCAAACTTGTACTCGCTTACGGTCGGTATTTTATGGCCCTGTATTAAGACCACCTGGTCTTTGTGATCATTGAATACTATCAATTCACACTTTGTTGCACTAAATCTAAGTCCTAAAGCCTCGCATTCCCTTCCGCATATCTCTACCAGCCACTGTATATCATGTTGACTACCTGCAAATAAGACAGTATCGTCTGCACAAAATTGACCTGGAATCTCCTGCAGAACCATTGCGCCAGCCTGATTTTGTGACAGATTGAGCGCAACGTTGCTACCTTCTAGCGCTTTTTCCATCTTCACCATGTACAACATGAAAAACAGCAGGGACAAAGGACATCCCTGTCTCTGCCCCTTGCTAATTTCAACGCTGTCATCGCAACTTATTCCTTCCCATTCTATACAAACTGTATTTTCTCGGTATATTTTTCTCAAAAGCTGTATAAGGTCATCACCAACACCCATTTACTTCAACATGTCCCACAAAATTTCCTGATTAACGTTGTCCTCAACCCAGTGATGTCCAGATAAGCTACGTATAAGAGCCTGCTTTCTATTTTAGATCTTTCTATACACTGAGTAAGGGCTCAGCTGGGGTAACCTGAGCGCTCCCTTAGTGGCGAAGTTCAGAACGAGAGCCGACGCAGGCAGCTCTGTAGAACGCCGCCAGCTAGGCATGTCAGAACAATGCCTTCTCCAGAAAAATGCCTGTGACGTCGCATGCTTTCGCATGGGAACGGGAGGTTCCTTATAGTTCAGTGCTTTCTCCGCAAGGAGCGCTCACAGCCGACACTAGTACTACCATTAGATTCAAAGGTGACGTCATCACAACAGAAACACAGCGGTCGCCGCAGCGAGCACTCGCAGACGACACTGCTTGGGGGAGTGGAGAAAGAAAAAATAGAAAAGGGCCGGGAATCAGCTTTTCGGCTCACGTCTCAGGCATCTTTCTAGAGGAGGCATTGGTCAGCATCACAGTAGGTCATAAGGTTTCCTAAAATTAAACTAGAGGGGAATATGGCACTCCGATTATTCAGCAACCATGGGAATTATGGCTATTACTTGGATTTGCTTAGTCTTCGTGCTTTGCAGGCGGCGATTGCACTTGTGGCTTCGTTTATTGCTGTGTTTTGGTTTTGTTTCGAAGGTAAGAACAAACCGTTATTCACTCGTGACCCGATTTGGAGAGGTAAGCCTAAAGGAATAAGGTGGTCAAGCGTAACAGCCAAACATTTGCCAACTGTTGTTTCGTGATAAAGCAGCTTTAATACACGCCAAGCCAGAAAGAATGTAAAGTACGAAGACTAGGCAAATTCATGTCATACCCACACAGTGGCGTAACTAGATAGGACGGCGCCCAGGGCAAATATATTTCCGCGCCCCTCATTATGCCCGTGATAATTTCCGCGCCCCCCCCCCCATTAAAAGCGCTAATGTAGGCTTCCGCGATTGCCTACTGGCGCGCGGCGGGCCATTTCGGAGGCCAAGGGCCACCAGTTCTGATTTCGATGAGCTACGCCCGCGTTTTTGTATAGTATTTTTCTTTTTTTATTCAAACTTCCGGAAGTCCCTTACCCGTCATTGTTCTCTTCCAGTCCACACTGCAAAAATCTTGACGGCACGGGCGCTTCCCAGGCCCAAGTTTCTCGTACCTAAGCTTTCGCGCTATTTGTGCATCCCAAGGAATGCAGGGTGAGTACAAAACAAAGCAACCAGCTAGACACCGCGCCCTCGGGTCTGGTATGGGGGTTAAACTGGTCGGAGTGTTCTGCCGTTTCGCTCCGTTCGCTGTTCCATTGATGGAGGTCATCCTTGTGCGGCCGCATTCTTTCAGGGAAGTTCTTGGTTTCTCCAACGTACGAAGCGGGGCAGTCGGCACATGCTGTCGGGTACACTACGCTCTGCGCTTTTTTCGCAGGTGCGTGTTCTTTGGGCCAAAGGATGAACCTGCCCATGGCGGTGGATGGCATGTGGGAAACGTTGACCCCCGCCCTTCTATTGCTTTGCTGGCGCCCGCGATGCAGGGAATCAACAAACGTCGCCGTCGTGTCACGCTTTCTCCGTCTTTCCTCCAGAGAACTCTGCGAATAAACGCCTTTGTTTAGCCTTTGGTGCCGAGGTCACGGATTATATTCGCCCTTCCTTCCGCCGCTGCGTGGACGATTAGTCGTTGGACGATCGGCTATTTCGTTGGAGTTTTCTGTTCTTACTCAAAAAAGGTGCATTCGAACTTTTTATTTTATTTTGTTTACGTACGTGGTTGGTTTCAGGGAAGCTTTCAGTAAGTGGTTTGGGAGGCTGGTGGGGTTCGCTGAAACTCATCTAACCCAGTGCTGCGGAGCACAAAACAAAGCTTAGCCGAGGGTCATGGGAAGGCACGGAGGTAGCGCAGCAAAATGAAAATAGAGGATCCTTTTCCCGATGCAAAAGCCATTGCGGCAACCCTTTCCTTCACCACCATCCCCACTTCCAGTCGTACATTACAACCTCGCCCCTCCCCCCTTCCAGGCGGTTTTACGGAAAAAAACATTGACAACCTTTCCAGGGGGCGCCAACCCGAGGACTCGGCTTGGCGCCCCCTCCCTAGTGGCGCCCGGGGCACTTGTACCCCCTTGCCCCCCCCTAGTTACGCCACTGTACCCACAATTCCCCTGCTCACTGAAGCGCCATGCATTGCAACTGCCATAGGCACTACCACCAGAGTTCCCTTTAGTGTATACATAGTGTGCATGTGCCTCACGCAGCGCCGATTCGTCACTTCCGAAATGCGCCACCGACATGCCCGGGTACCTACCGACTCCGTGGCCGACCGATGCCGTGTTGTTTCGTCGTGCATGCGCCCGTTCAGTTTTGCCTAACGATGCAAGTTAGAGCAATTATTAGCTGCTGGTGAGGCAAATAGATATAACAGTCCAGGAAGAGCAAGCAGAGCGTCAGGGTGTTCTCTTTGCCGAAAGTTATTACCTAACATTGAGAACGCACACAGCGATTTTTCGAAAAGCACTGGCATGTCTGGCTGGCACAGATTACCAAAAACGACTTGAAGGACTGATGATATTCGCGTCTTCAGGTGTAACTTCATTACAGGTAAGTAATGAAGTTACACCCAAAGCACGAACCTGCGAACTTGTCCGCGACCGCTGCGTGCACAATCAGCGTGTCAGGGAGGCGGTTAAAATTGTGAAGGCAATCACGGAAATTCGGGTATTGCATTCAAACAAAGTGTGAAAATAGATGTGAAACAATATTCGTTCACTCGCAATTTGAAGTATAGCCGATCGGTTCAAGTTGGGGGTCCGACACGGCGGAAGTGACATCACATGAACACTATGTATATTTAGGAAACTTTGTGCAGTAGGTCGTGAGTCGTTGCCAAACGGGGGGGGGGGGGGGCAGTGTTGCCATACTGCCGCTAAATTTGGCGGCTTTGTTTTTTTGTACAGTTTAAGCTTTCTGTAATGTTATTCTATCGGCTCACACTGTTTTCAAGTGTACGTGATATACCCGTGTCACTAGAGTGCCAGTAACCTACGTGCCGTTTCGGGGTTCTCAGTATTTTGGTGCATCCGGGCTGTACCCGTGTCATTAGGGCGCCAGCAACATACGTACCGCTTCGGGGCTGTCAGCATTTTGCCAGCGTCCGTGATGAGCACGAGTCGCCTAGGTCATCGCAAAACAACAGACAGCTACGCACAGCAATGAAGGAATTCATACTTCGGCGACAACGATGTATGCTGTCGACGCTGTGTGCGGAGTTTTGCGACGCCGTTCAGTTCCCCCGGTAAATCCGTCGCTGCGCGTGGGTTCCTTACTTCGAATCTAAACTCGAAAATTTTCCGCTTTCAAAACACGATCGAGTCCAATTAATATTAGAATGAAACCTACAGTGAAAAGGGGGGATCGCACTTTTGCAACACACACGATTCGCTAAATAAAAACGACCGTGTCAAGATACCGCACAGACACAGCGGATTACACCCCCCCTCCCCCCCTCCCCGAGTTTGGCAACCGACTTCACAAATTGTACCTTGCAACAAAAGCTGGTCCAAACGAACAGAATCGTGGCGCAGCCAGTGCATCTTTTGAGTCAACAAGTTCAGCCAAAAGAAGACAAACCTTGCGAGCGGTTGAGCCGCCGGTAGTAGTAGTAGCAACCACAAAAGGCAGCGGCTTCGGCAACTGCTACAACAGCCAAAGCGGTGCCCACGAATCCCCTTTTGACGCGGCTTTTCCGAAGCATCTGGATCGAAAAACTAATACACCCCTGCCCAAGCTCAATGTATGGCGGTGTCGAAAGCGTTTCTCGCGCCACGTCTAGCAGACTTCACACGTGCGGCGAAGTTTTCATGCGTCCTTCGCGGAACCTCGAGACATTCACTGTACGAAACTGTGTCGCTGTAGAAATATTTTTTTAGCCTGCGCGCTTCTTTCCTTGAACCGTTTGGAATGTGCGCTTAATAAATTATTAAAATTTATTTTAAATTTATGTTTGAACATACTTTAGTTTTAGTATTTATTTGTAAGATTGGGTAAGAAACTACAATGACGATCTCCGGCCATTCAGGTGCCTCCTAGTTTTATTTATTTATTTATTTCTCTTGCCTGCCGAAGAAGCGCGAAACGCCCATCATCTATAGAGGCGCTGCCAACATAGGAGTAAGAGTCTTTGTACTTGGCCTTTGAGATCGGCAATTTTGACGTTTGCTGCTGCTAACTTGAAAGGCTATGCCTTGCATTGAAAAAGTTGCTTGCTGAATGATGGTGTCACTTACGTAAGGTTACGTTCATGCTTTTTGAAAACTTTTTACGTTATTTTTATTGCATATAAGCTCCAAAAACCTAAAAACTCATTTGAAGACACCCCTACTTGAGTGGCACCACCGCCGTAGATCCGACGACCACCGCTTCCCAAGTGACCGCTGGTAATCCGGCAGGCAAGATAAATGTAGGAGGCTTTCGTAGTGTATAGGTACAGTGTACTAGAAGGGCGCAGTGGAGTGAACGAGGCGGCCGCGCCGTATCTCGGCTAATTCTCCGGCGGGTGAAAGTAGCGGCAGCACTGGAGTCGCATGGTACTGAAGATCTCAAAAGCGTCTGCATTGGGAGCGCGCGCGAGTAGCCTGCGGAAGCGCGTATTTGCTTGTTTTTAGCGCGTTTAATGCGTTTCAGAGCCTTTATCAGTCTATGCCCAGACAACACAGATAGTCCTAAGGATCCCCAAACAAGTACCGAAGTCCCACCTCCAAGAAAGGAAGTCGTATGGATGTCCCGTAGACTTCAGCTAACGGATGTACATTATATATACCGGAAGAGGACGTGAATGGGTGGATGCATGCGTGAGATCTGCATGCATCCACCCATTCATGTCCCCTTATGGGATGTTTAATGGACATGGTATATATCATCCCACGCAGTTTCAATAAATATACTCACTGATATTCCCACATATATGCACGTTGCTTCATGAATTAGTGTATATTTTCAGCGATCCTTTTTTAACGCACATGTACATATATATAGAATTTGCGCAATCCTTCATAAACATACACATATTAAATGAGCAGGTGAGAACACATAATAGAGCAGTGTTTTCAAGACTGAAAATAACAAGCAAAGAGGAAGGCAACAGAACCACTGAACATGCTATAGGCTTACAGTCACGTAGAAAAACCCTTCATAAATATACAAATATTCAATAAGCAGGCGAGAACGCATAATGGAGCAGTGTTTTCAAGACTTTGAAAATAACAAGCAAAGAGGGAGGCAACAGAACCACTGAACATGTTATAGGCCTACAGTCACATGTAAAAGCAGGAGGGCATTGCATCGCTGGAAGAGTACATTGAGGGGTATTAAAAACATGTAAAAAAATGCAAGACTTTCAAAAATACAGTTCTTTCTACTAACTAGCATGCGCCTTTCAAATACTGCATGCACTGGTAATTTCTAGATACCGTGGAATGCGCAACATCCAAATATAATCCTATTATGATCCCAAGATGTCTTAAGTGCAGGATGTCCTAAGGATCTCTTTTTTTGCCTCATTTTGGAGCCTTCACGGAGGTTTTCTGGAATTATTTCGGACATCCTTAGAAGTTCCCACGCATCCTAAACAGCGCATCCTTGGGGAATCCAAAGGATGGTTCTGTGTTGCCTGGGTGCGCACCTGCTAAGCGCAATAGTGCACGAGTAAATATGCAGACACGCAGAAATTGCGTCGGGAAATTCACTGGTTCAAGAGCCTGCTGACAAAAAAACATGTAGTACAATTAAAACTTGCACGGATCCGCCTAGCTTTTCACTCAAGCAGCGCTTTGAGCTGCACTACATCATAAGTGGCTACTGGCGAGCTACAAAGAGGGAAGTAACAAAACCGCGAACAAATCGCACGCTCATTTTGTCGGCAGTTTCTATATCCAGAGCACTCTTCCTCGTATAAGTCCACACGCCCTCGATTGTGTCATGAGAAACCCGATTATAAGTAATGTTGCCACTACATTTATATCGGTGACAACTTAGTTTTATCATCCCAGTTTTGCAGAAGATAATATAATGCTTTCTGACAGGCTTTCTTGTTTTAACCACGCGCTATCGCACTCAATTTGGTTCTTTTATGCAAGTTCCAGGAGGCCGAGTCAGGGAGCCGAGCTGAAAGAACGCCTGTACCTCCTAGTCAAGAACTCCACGCGAAAGGGGTTATATTGAACATGTTAAAGAGTGTCAGTTGTATAGTATACATAGCCCGTCTGTTACTCTACGTAAATTCAGTGTAGCCAGTTCTTATTTTGTATCGACAGTTTGAATTGTACTGCTTCCCTAATATTATATTGGCGTAAAGTTGTTGCAAGCGAGAAAATTTATGACGATGTTTAGTATTATAGGTGTAGTTCTTTTATTAAGTGTCAAAAGTGTAGGTAAGCATTGGTGCATTTTGTTTTGAGAAATATAACTTGTATATTATGTACACAGTTGATTGATTGATATGTGGGGTTTAACGTCCCAAAACCACCATATGATTATGAGAGACGCCGTAGTGGAGGGCTTCGGAAATTTTGACCACCTGGGGTTCTTTAACGTGCACCCAAATCTGAGTACACGGGCCTACAACATTTCCGCCTCCATCGGAAATGCAGCCGCCGCAGCCGGGAATCGAACCCGCGACCTGCGGGTCAGCAGCCGAGTACCTTAGCCACTAGACCACCGCGGCGGGGCTATTATGTACACAGTAAACACACACACACACACACACACACACTTACACACACACACACACACGCACACACACACGCACACACACACACACACACACACACACACACACACACACACACACAACACACACACACACATCATACACACACACACACACACACACATATATATATATATATATATATATATATATATATATATATATATATATATATATATATATATATATATATATATATATATATATATATATATATATTGTAGGCATCTATTATGCGTTTCATCCTCATCTGAACAACAGTCAATCATCATCATATGTTCTGGCTGACAATCATCATCTGCTTGGCACGAGCGCTTCTTTGTCGGGTCCGTTGCGCTTGTTCGTTCCCGAGTTCACGGCCAATAAACCTCGCTACAACCGAGTCGTCATACGTGGTGGAGGTGGATTGACGTTCCCAGTACCTCTACTTACAACGCCTACTCGCTGGAGCTCCGTTCAGGCCGCCGCTTGGACCCTCAGTCCGCCAACATGTCTCAGAGTGAGTGGGTGGATGCCCTTTCGGCTCCCGTCTCTGCGCCGCAAGCCGTAACTGCGCCGCAAGCCCCTCCTCTTTACATCGTAAACCACCAGCGTGACCCTCCGATCTTCGCTGGTCTCCGCGACGAAGATGTGGAGGACTGGCTCGATAACTACGAGCGGGTAAGCGCAACTAATCACTGGGACGACTCTAACAAGCTCCGCCGAGTAACGCTTTATCTCACGGGCGTTGTCAAGACATGGTTCTTGAACCATGAAATCGACCTCACCGACTGGCCTGCCTTCAAGCAGCAGCTTCGCCAAGTATTCGGCACGCCAGCCGTTCGATCCGCTCTAGCGAGGAGGGCCCTAGATACTCGCCAACAACATCCCGGCGAGTCATACTCATCTTATATCGAGGATGTCCTTGCGCTTTGCCGGCGCGTCAATTCTTCGATGTCCGAGTCGGACAAACTGTGCCACATCCTGAAGGGCATCGGAAGCATTGCCTACAATGCCCTTGTTGCCCAGAATCCTTCTACTGTCACGGACGTCGTCTCTACGTGTCAGCGTCTTGACGAACTTGATTCTGTTCGCCTTCAGTCGGGCAATAGTGAACACCGTACCGCAGACCGGGACCTGCGTGACATGATACGGGAGATCATACGAGAAGAACTTCAATCAATGGGCATCTCACAACCTTCTCCATCTGTCACGCAAGCCTTCAAGCATGGCCTCCGGGAACATCGTAAGGAGGAACTAACATCATTCACCGGTCCAGCCTACGTCCAGCCACCTCCGTCTAGCCCTCCAACGTACGCGCAAGTTGCGGCCGCGCCTCCTCGCAACGTAAACTCTACTTCACCGCTGCCATCATTCACGCCAGTTGCTGCTGCACCACCGGTCCACTTCCGGCCAATCACACCCGACCCTCCGTCAGTCCACTTGAGTGCGCTATCTCCCGGTGTGCCGAAAGACCTCTACTACCCGCCTTGGCGCCCGTCTCGCCCAACATGCTTTTACTGTGGATATCGTGGCCATATATTGCGCTTCTGCCGCAAGCGCCAGAAGGACGAGCGTCGCGGGTACGACATGCGCGAACGGGACTTTTCCAGAGGGGATTCTTACGCTCGGCGTTATTCATCTGGACAGCAGCGGTCTCCATCTCCGCCCGCGTCGACTGAGACGCGGAACACTTACCGTTCAAGCCGACACCGATCACCTTCGCCCTTCCGTCGCTCCTCCTCTCCTCTTCGGCCAGCCTCGTTTACTACTGATAACCGGTCGGAAAACTGAATGATGTAGTTTTCGGAGGAGAAACTGCATGTAACAGTAGGACTCATATTCCTCCAGCACGCCCGTTCAACATGGTTTCTGTTACGGTGGAAGGAGTTCTCGTGGACGCTTTGGTGGACACCGGTGCTACAGTTTCTGTGATTAGGTATGATTTGTTCAAACGCCTGAAGAAAGTAATGACACCTTATAATGGACCCAATCTAGTCGAAGCCCAGGGGAACGCTATCTGCCCTTTTGCTCTTTGTACTGCTCGTGTGTTTATTGATGACATTTTGCATTACATCGAGTTCACTGTGCTTACCCGGTGCTCTCACCAGCTAATTCTAGGGTGGGACTTCCTATCTTCTT